ATCACATTGCAGAATACTTAAAACGCGAATGGCTCAAGACAGGTTGGCTTTTCGAAGGGCAACATGGGTTTAGAACAGGCTACTCTTGCGAAAGTCAAACAGTCTCCGGTTATCAATATATTGCTGATCCCGTTGATGCGAGTGGGAGAATTGACGCAGTTGTCATAGACTTCTCAAAAGCTTTCGATCTTGTTCCACACGACCGATTAATAGCAACACTTGCTAGGGCGGGAATCGAAACTAGAGTAGTATCTTGGATCCGAGAATGGCTCAGTGGGAGAACTCAAAGAGTAAGAATAGGGGTTAAACTTTTGCAGTGTCGAAGTTACGTCGGGGGTCCCTCAGGGAAGCGTTCTAAGTCCGTTGCTGTTCACTGCTTATATGAACATCGGTCGCGACATTAAAAAATTCCACTCTATGCAGACGATTGTACACTATACAGATAAATTAAAGACACCCAGGACGTTCAAGTGTTACAAGCAGACCAACACAAAATAGAATGCTGGACTACAAAGAATGAAATGGAAATTAATACAAATAAATGCAAAGCTATCAGTTTCTCTAATAAGAAAAAAAACGGAAAATATCTGGTATACTCTGAAAGGCGATTCGATACCCAGGGTAAGCAATATTAAATATTTAGAAAATAATATTAACACTTGGGATGGGCCGAGCCAGTGAAAGAGAGTGCTGAATCGTGGAAACTTGCGAACACGTCAAAAACTAAGCAAATGGAACTAGCAGTTCGACCTATTCTTGAATACGGTTCAGTTTGTTGGGATCCTTACCGTGTAGGATTTATTTAAAGTATGTACAAGTACATACGTTAAATAAAATTCAAAACGTTGCGGAGACGGAGAAATTTGTATTAAGAGGGAAAATAAATTCAAATAGTCCCATGTGGAAATCCTTGCAGAAACGTCGAGAAACAGCAAGACTCTGTGCTTTCTTTAGAGCTTACAAAGGCGAACCAGCTTGGAAGTATATTCAGAAGCGACTCTTAGGGGGAGAAGGCAAAAAATACACAATTTTAACTGTTAATTGAAAAAATGTTAAAACATACATGGTTCATAAATTTCTCAAAAACGAAAAAAAAATCTACCAAAACACGCAACCATGCACGGGAAAATTATGCATATAAAAAATGAGCTTGCCAAGAAAGATATTAATACAATTTTTTTTGAAGTCCTACAAAGCTGAAATAAAAAAAACATGCATTTTCTCTATAAAATTCAATTCAATTATCATTTTGATTTTTTTTCCAATTTTCGAAAATATACAGATTGCGCCAAAATGAGACCAGCAACACATCCTTTACCGTTCTTTGCTACATACACTACGTGATCAAAAGTTTCCGGACACGTGGCTGAATCTGACTTACCAGTTCGTGGCGCCCTCCATCGGTAATGCTGGAATTCAATAGGGTGTTACACCCTTAGCCTTCATGACAACTTCTACTATCGCAGGCATACTTTCAATTAGGTGCTGGAAGGACTCTTGGGGAATGGTAGCTCATTTTTCACGAAGTGCTGCACTGAGGGGAGGTATCGATGTAGGTCGGTGAGGCCTGGCACGAAGTCAGCGTTCCAAAACATCCCGAAGGTGTTCGATAGGATTCAAGTCAGTTCTCTGTGCAGGCCAGTCCATTACAGAGATGTTATTGTCGAGTAACCACACCGCCACAGGTCGTGCAGTATGAACAGGTGCTCGGTCGTGTTAAAAGATGCAATCGCCATCCACGAATTACTCTTCAACAGTGGGAAGCAAGGTATTTAAAATATCAACGTAGGCATGTGTCAAGATAGTGCTCAACAAAACATGGGGTGCAAGCCCTCTCCATGAAAAATACGAACACAATATCATTTTGGACGTGTCCGGATATGTTTAATCACATAACGTGTATGAGAAAGAGAGAAAACATCTGAAGCAGTTTTTGAGAGAATAATTGGTTAAAATTTAATTGCTTATGATTGTCTCATAATTACGGCAAAAAATTCGTCTTTTCGGAAAATTGTACATGACCTTATTTGAAGATCCGTTTCTGATGAACAAATGTCATTAAGAAACTAGTGGTGCAAGAGAATTGCAGTCTTTCCCGTATTCGTTTTCCATTTCCTTTGATATCGGCTAGGTATTCGGACTTGACACATACTCTAGCCAGCTGCCATCTAACACCGCCTAAAGTACAATTTATGACATTTTCTTAACTTTTCGGTTTCCTAATGGTAGAAGAAATAATTATTTTAAGAATATTAAAGAACAGTAAAACCTCATATTAAATTGCAATATTCTTTGAAAAATGTTGCGCGGTTTCGGTATCAGGGGACCCCAAAATATGTACTTCCTTTGAAATCTCGAAATTGATTTTCTGCAGCACTACATAACTTTACCTATACTACATATATTATTCCGTATATACGTATGTATATGGGAAAGTTTAAAAAATCTGCATAACTGTGGTTGTAGGAAGACGTCGATAAAATGTTGAATTTTTGCAATTTTCGAAAAATAGGAATTTCAATGAAAATGAGACCTGCATCTTTCTCTTAAGCGTCCTTTACGCTACCCGAGGTCAAAATTTAATTTTAAAAAATTAGGCGCAGTTCTTTCTTTTAGAAAAAAAGAGTTTAAATAATTAAAAATTGCCTATATTTCATGAAAAATTATTCAAATTTTCGAAAAAGTATACATGTCCTGTCACGGCCTGTCAAAATCTGTCATTAAAGAGCGGATTTCATTACATAAAAATCTCTATCTTTGGTATTTTAGTTCTAGGAAGGTGCCGGAAAAAATCGAACTTGTGCAATTTTCGATCAATAAGGGATTTCAACGAAAATGAGACTTGCATCATTCTCTTCAGAGCCCTTTACGCCATTCGACACAACTTCATCAAACAATGTGGACCCTTTTATTATTATTATTATTATTATTATTATTATTATTATTATTATTATTATTATTATTATTACAATTATTATAATAATTATTTTTAAAATGTTCCAGCGGCTTGATCGAAAGTGAGCCCTAAAATTAAAATATCCGTTTCAAATTCAATGGGCTGCAATATCAGCCATATCGGCTGGGAAATATCAACTTTGGAGAAAGTCGGTAGAAGGGAGCTAGCGTTGACCTCGGGCGACGTTTTGACGTCAATCGATCTTTCGGTATCAAAGACTCACAAACCATGGATTCTGACTACATAACGTTTTAGAGGAAGTAATTAATATATATAGGCAATATTATATGGTAATATGTGGGGGGCAAGATTTACCAACGGCCGGCAAAGAGATATTCTGTCGAAAATTCGCTGTTTTTCCCCCAGCAGTTTAATACTTTTTCTACACTGCGTAAGCAGTAGCGAGACAGTAAAACGAGATGGTGAATAAGAACATAATAAGAGAAGAAAAGGAGGAGGAAGAAGATGAGGGGAACAGGAGAAGGAGGAAAAGAAGAAAGAAAAGACCTGAGGAAAAGAGGAGAAAAAATAAATGGAGTTCATGAAAATGAAGAAAGAAGAAAAGGATGAATGAGAAGTAGAAAAAAATGGAGGAAAAGAAGATTGAAGGGGAAGAGAAGAGGGATGAGGAGGGGGGGGAAAGCCTTTCACTTGTTACCCTATTGCTTGTTGTTTCTGTATCACCTCAGAAATCATGCATTCTGTGCATTATAATTTCTCACTTACAGTGCACTCTGGTACAGCAGGGCCCTGAAATGTAATAAACTTTGTAGTGTATAGTTATGACATTGTCGGAATGCTTTAACTGCAAATAAGTGTGAGAATGCGAACTTTCAATGAAAAAGAGACATAACCGACATGATAAGGACTTCTTAACAAATAGTAGTTTGAAGTACATGAATAAGATTAAACGGTGGGGGGAGGAGAAGAAGAAACAGAAGAAGAAGAAGGAAAAAGAACCCAACTATAAGTGACTGACAAGGGTTCAAAACACAGTTCAACACTGTTCAAATCAATGGATATTATTTTAATTTTCAAATAATTGTAAATTTTTAATGAACAGAAATATCAGCCTACACCTTCAAGACAGGTTCATTTTTTTCGAATGTCAGTCCATGAAGGCATGAAGTTACTCCACGAAACTACACAACACTCTATGATTGACACTCAAGATAAGAGTCATCAACAATCACCCAAGTTTAATCACAATTTTTAACAATGTCATATACAGTCAAAAACACTGTTGAAATGATGTCCCTACCTCCTAATATACAAAATAAATATTCATTTTTAATACTGACCAGGAATCAGATTTGCAATTGGTGCAACAAATCACAAATAATGTCTCAGAAGAAGAAAGAGAGAAAAATGCTAAATCAAGCAACTTACAAGAATACAAAGTACATGTTAATGAACAAAACACTAACTTTGATTCATTAATTTGCTAAATAAATTTCAAATACCAACTCAATAAAACCCTTCAACATTACTTTCCTGTGACATACAGTACAACATCTTTGCCTATTACAAGAATTCTGACAGACCTATCGTTTCATTTTCAGGCAAGAACAGTCTATAAAAATTCTAAGGCAAAGAAAAGATGAAAATATTGTATTTTTCACTGGAAAATCTCAACTTTTTAAGTTCTAATATGGCTGTAAAGCTTGAAATTTAATATTGTCACATAGTCATCCCTATCCACAACATACACTTTTTAAAAACTAAGTTCATTTCATAGTGTTCTTCAACTTCTATTGCAGTTGCTGAAAATAATTTAGTTATATTTCTACTGCAACAGGTATTCTCAAAAAACTATCCTAATATTTCAAAGAAGTTTATATACTACAAGTTTATATACAACTCAAGAAAAGACCAAGAGTAATAACTTGAAAGTATTAAATGTGCATAGCCAAAAATTACAAAGAATATGTCTAAATGACAGAATATGCTTTCTAGAACTTTCCTTCATAATTAATATTGTAGCTGATGTGCTTATCACATAAACAGATTCTGGTACAAGAAAAATATTTAAAAAATTACTTACCATTCAATGACCAAATATGAGACGGTAGGGAGTGAGCTGTATATACTCTTCCAAGGCTAATATTCGCTGCTAAAGGGCTGTCCAGGACATGATCTTCAGGAGAACTACTGTCAGTTTCTGGTGACTCAGATATGTCATAAGCTCCAACGTTTGAATTTGGTATTCCTATGGCTTCGTGACTTGAATGACTGTCCGGAACACTAGACAAAGAACGTGCTCTCTGCCTGTCACTTGACACTGCACCCGGGATAGCCCTAAGAAGGCTAAATCCCGTACCTCCAGCAACAACATCGGAACTACTGCTAGTAGAAAAAGTTCGAGCTCGAGGACTTGTCCCTCCACCACTAGCGGTACTTGCTTTAGCACCCATTACACTGAAATAATTTCGAACTGTTAGTAATGCAAATTAGATTTATTAGGTTCCTTATGTGCCGAAGTCCTGCTTAAAATAACACAAAATCATATCACTAATCCTAAGACAATAAACCACCCGCAATAACAAGCGGCCATATTGCTCCTCGCTACTGGAACGCACTCTGGAACTCAGTATCTCACATTAACAAATGACACACGTAATAGGCGGCGCAACCTGCCAGGAAAATTTAAGTTTATGTATATTCAGGTTAATAGAAATAACGAATTTGAACCATGAGATTGGATTTATACATTTACATCAACTTTTAAAATGAAAAATACAAAAAGCAAATAATAACCGTAACATATCCAACATTAATTATCTAGAAACTTTATTCTTAAAGAGTTAAAACACCAATCAATAAAGACTCATTTATACTTTTTTTAATACTTTTTCTTATATATACTTTTAATACTTATCTATACTTTCATTTAATTTTTCATTTTCTTATTGGAGTTCACTAGAAAATATCAATGAAAATGCTTTATTAAGATTGAAATTGAACACATTTTTCATTATAATTTAATCTTTCAATATGTTTAGTTTTTCCATTGAGAAATTTCAGGAAGAGAGCAAATGTTTCAATAAAAATGGTCCAAAACCTGCAAAAATGTTTCAAAATGGAAAACTTTTCACAAGGAAGCATATCTTACGTGACACCAGTAAAAATGAACACAGGAATAGAATAATATGAAGGCCAATGAAATGAGAATTAGGTAACAAAATAAATGGCCTAGGAATAATTACAATTTTTCAAAACGAAAAGTAGCAAAAGGGAAAAATGCTACACTCTAATGTCTATTTCTATTGCAACCAAACCAATCAAATAATTCTTCAAGGCAAGAAGTATACATGAAATAATTTTTCAAGATATTGAAGGACCAAAAAGGAAATTGAAAGGAAAGGTGAATACAATAATAAAAAACCATTTAAAATACCTTTGTCATTTTATTTCAAAAGCAATATATCTCATTTTTTGTTTTTCTGCTCTGAAAAACTTTTCTCTTTACAAACCTGGCATTACTGACTTAAATCATTGTAAAATATATTTTCAAAATGTACAGATACATATTTACATACAAACAAGTACTGAATAAACAAATATACTCAATCTAGGAAGATTCAGCGAACCTTACATACAGAACAAATTCTTTATGTAAAAATACAATAAACTCTTTATGACTATCCCTGGTTTTAGAAGTTAGTACTATGAATGCTGAATATTTTTTGGTACTTGTACACATTTGCCCTAAATCCTTAGCATAAAATAATGCTCGTAACTTGACATTTCATTCGCTAAAAAATCAAAGACAACATTATGAACAGGAAAAGTCCATTTCTAACTCTAGCAGGAAAATAAGATAAATTGTCTTTTCTAATGTATGTAAAAATAACATAAAAACACAAACAAAAACTATACTTATTTCTTTCTTAATGCCACTGAAATATATGACACTAAATCTTTTAAGGTAAGTATCTAGTATTATTAAAGCTTTCACAGAGTAAGCAATAAAAAATCTGGGACAACAATTCCTTAAATTTAAGTTAACTTCAACATGAAAAATCACAAAATGTTTACAACTGTTCAACTTTACAGACTTAAACCAATGAGTAAATTATACAACATATGAAGGTCTTGGTAAACCAAAGAACTAGTGCACCCAATAAAATATTGTGATGATCAGAAATCAACACATGTTGATTAGAAAAAAATTTCAATACACACACATTGTTCTCTCCTAAAATGGCACTTCACAAAAAAACTATTGTGTCCCACTAATCATTTCATGCACGAATGATCGCGTGTCACTTCTCAGAACTGTTCTAGGTTCCTCAGAGACTAGGTACATGGTGCATTTACAAGTTCATTTTAAAAATCGTAATTTTTTGTTTTCTTGTTTAAATAATTTTCCTCAAACCAGCAAATAGCTTACACTAATGCTTAGACAGTTTTTTAAGAACTTGCTGTAAGTTCTGTCAAATTGATTAAATTATATACACAAATTTATCACTCTGTGTCAAGTACGAAATGGAAATTAAAATCAAGTCTCTGTAGAAAAGATTTACATCAAATTACTTTGAGTGTTTTAACAGAATATGTAACACTCCCTTCATTGTATAGGTAAAATAATGGTGCAGGCAAGTGATTGCACAATATCTTGAGTGGCACCAGCAACACTTTTATCGTGTAAAAGCTCGCACATGTCTGACAGGTGGGTCCCGTCTCCCTCCTCCACGAACACTAGGTCCTCCAAATCTCTCTCGATTATCTTTAGTTTGCCATCCCCCAGGACCACCACCGCCACCACTGCCACCACCACCACCGCCGCCGCCGCCGCCGCCGCCGCCGCCACCGCCGCCTCCTCCACCACCACCACCACGAACCCCTCTTCCACTTCCAAAACGAGTTCCTCCAGTTGCATTAAATTTTTCTTCAGAACGGGGCATCATGCGTATGTCACGCATTTCTGGTGTCCTGAATGATCGAGACTGAGGAGCCGGTTGATTCGTGGGGCTGGGACCATCACTGTTATGTGGAGGCCACGCTGGTGATACAGCTCCTCGACCATTTCCAACCCTTGGAGGCATTGAACTAACACCACGGGGAATTCCTAAAAATTAAGGTATAATTAATGGAATAAATTATTTCCTTATCCACTAACCACACACCAATGCAATAACACTTTACAAATAAATATTACCAAGAATTATGAGCAGATAAATTCAATTTTTTATACATCATCAGTCCATCACTTACTATTATTTAATTATTATATTATTTATTATATTATTATTATTATTAATCTATATTATTATTATATTATTATTATTATTTGATTATTATATTATTATTATTATTTATTATTGATTGATTATTACTTATTGTTGTGTTGTTGTTGTTGTTGTTGTTGTTATTCACTATTTTATTATTATTATTGTTAAAGTTTATAATCAACTCTTTCAACAAATGACATTAAAAAGATTTTGCAATGGGAAAGAAACATGACACACTAAATACATTTATTACAACCACTTGGCTGTTTGAAAATACAAAATAACTTCAATCCTCTTCACAGATTTAACTAAAGACCAGAAGATTACAATTAAAGTCATATAATTGTAGTTACAAAAACAAAAAAGGAATATACATATATATATACATATATTTATATTAAATAATAACAATAATTAACAAAAATAATTATATGTTTTTTGTACATATATTTACACACACTAAATTTACCTCGACCATTCTCACGTCGGTTATAGGGAGTTGTTGAACCAAAGAAACGACCACGATCAGAAGCAAAAGCCCGACCTCTGCCCCGAGATCTGGTAGCAATTATGTCTTTTGCAGCTCGCATTGATATTTTGTTGTAGCCAGTAGGACCAGTTGGTTGTTGACCTGATATTTCCAATGCAACAAAATCATCCACATGCAATGACGGTGGCCGTGAAGTATTAGGTGGGCGAGACCTAAACAAATCTCCTCTTTGGGGAACAGATCTTCCAAAACCTCGTCCTCTCATAGGAGCAACTAAAAATCATGACCATCAATTAAAAGTATATTAAAATTTTTACATACAAAATTAATCAACATTTTTTTCTTCATAGTTAATTTACATACCAAAAGGCCTCTTGTTCTTGTTATCAGCTGCTAAGTATTTATTCATTTCTTCTCCTCTTTTTTTTATTTGGTCTCCTTCCTCATCATCACCTGATATATCCTTCAATCTATATAATCTTTCAGTCTCCATTGGTAAATGGAAATCCGGAAGATACAGTCGAGTAATCTCCATTAGATCGCAAGTAACCTATTAAATTTTTTTTTTTTTTCATATTAAATGGATGTAGGAAATAAAAACAAATATCTCAATAAAGTATTTTAATGTATTTACCTGTTCCATATCTTGATCTGCTTCATCAACAGGAGGAGGGGCCAACCAGTAGGTAGAGCCTAGCCTCTCATCATCTACTTCCCCAACCATGAAAACGGGTCGGGCCGAGAACTGGGCGAGTAATATTTCTGGTCCTGGTAAAATGGGCTCCACAAGATCTGCACAATTCAACATTTCAAGTTGAAGCCAAAATATCCCCCTTTTTAAACGCAATATACCTTCAAAGATGAGCAGATTTGTAGATTGATACACCACTCCTTTAATCACATTGCCAACAAAAAATAATTCTACTTTGCCTCAATTAAAAGAATTCATAATTTACCATTCTTTATTACAAAACATTCGTATGTGCATTTGAATTTCATATAGTGAGACTTGATATAAGTAAAAAATGTTGGTATTTAAAATGTAGGAAAAATTGTACATAATCAATACTGTTAGAGTTATTACAAAAATATTGAAACGGTTAATTATGAATACATCAGCAAATAAGATGACAAAAAATACCCCTTTGTCAATTAACCAACATAAGAATGTGTACGCAGAAATGAAAAGAATTTCTCCCAAAAAGAGTTAATGTTTAATATTTTATACAAATCAAATATACTGGCTAAAATTAATTGTATAAATGCAAAAATATTAGAACAAAATATAATATTTTTGTGAAACTAACCTTTGTTTTCCACGGGCTTTCCACCTTCTTCCTCCAGCAAATGTATTAGATTAGTAACATTTTCATGTAAACTATCTAATGCTTCCTCCTCTGAACTGCAGTCCTACAGACAATGCACAATAACAAATAAAAACATAAAAAGGACATAAACAAACGAGGATACACAAGAATATAGAATTTGATGTCAGAATGTAATAAACGCTTCATTAATTAGTAATGGATTCCTGAAAAAGTGTTTTAATTCATACGCAATGCCTACATAACTTGAGAAGTTCGTTGTTAACATTTAATTGACATTTCTGGCTATCATTTGTTCAATAGTTTCCTTGGATAATTTAATTGAGATATACAAGATAATTGCATATAAGAATGCAGAAGTTAAAGATATATGTAAGGAAATAAAACTTAGATTATTACAATGATAATATTGACATTGTCATTTCAAGAAATCGATTGTCTAGCTTCAAGATGAAGCAAAAAACAAAAATTCTATAAAGCAAATTAAACACAACATTATACATAGGATTGTGAAGTCTACCTTGAAAGGATCAAAATCTACTCATAAGGAAAACTAATCAGCAGGCAATCTCCAACTTTACGCTCTGTACATTAGAAAATGTATTGATGAACTGTGAACCAAACTAAGAAATTTCAATAGCTCAACCCCTTTCTGTGAGAACACCAGTATCATTATACTCACTGAAACAAACGGCTACATTACATAATATCAGGATTTACTGCACTTAATCTTTAAAATCATATTATCCACGTTCTGGACAGAAACACATCAACCAACTGATATTCAAGAAGGGGAGTTTTTATAGCAGTTTACCAGAAATATTCCAACATTGAAATTTCACCACAACAAGGCTGCACAATTTTGTTCTTATTATGATAAGATGTACTACTTTTATTAAAGTGTTTTTTCCACCAAAATTTCCAAATGACACCTATGCCCAATTTCCTCAACACCTTAAGCATATATTTGAATCATTGCTAACTTCATGTTCTTGGTCACACCTTCCTAAGTAACTGAGGAAGATACATAACTTGGTAACAGAATAAATGAGGATTTTAGAGGAAAACACAAGTTTGGTGAAGCTTCAAATGATGAATACACTCCTAACACTCACCTATAACAGACAATTAAATAAGTAATCTTATTTGAAGTGAATGAATTTTGATTATGGTAAAATTCTAGATTTGATATTGTCAAATATTCACATTGATAATGTTGAATCAAACCACCCTATAATAACCTGTGATTCTTCCAGCTCTAAAATTACAGTTTGCTTTAAATGAAAACATTGATTACATTAATAGGGTTGTGAGTTAATCAAGATTATTATACATCTATTAATCAGAAATTGCCTCACCCAAATTTATAATTCATAAATAATATACTACTTGAAATTTTACTCTATTTTCTCTACATAACCACCTATATATTTTTGAACGACAAACTGCAAATAATTATTCTAATTATATCAACGACACTTCATAATACAATATTATATCATTTTGGAAATATTATTATTTTCTTAAGGGGTATAATGATTACCAATGTATCTTAATGTTGTGAAGACGTAATCTCAGCAAGATGTAGTGAATCTGTGTTGAGTATGTAACATCAAATGCATTGATTTTTTAAGAGAATTTCATTGGAATTCTCAAACCCCCAAACCTTTAACACGTTTTTCCTTAGAGAAGGATTTGCCTCATTCTTTAAACAATTCCACTAACCACAAACTCTGAAATATTGTAAACCTGCCAAAACTAATCCGACGTACATCTGTATGAAGCAGTAGACCATTATACTAGCTATCACATATCAGTCAGTGCTCTGAACAAGTGGCTGAAGTACAGTTGGCCTCAATTTGTTCACTACTTATGTTATTGCTTTCATTTCATTCTACTGATTTAAAGTCTTTCGACATAATGACTGCTGGTGTATTATACACTGGTAATGCAGAAACTTACGAAAGGTGGGGGTCTTTACAACTCAAGAAAAACAATTCCTTCTCTCCACCTACCATAACAGAAGGTCAGTAAATTGCTAAGCTCACAACTTCTATGCAGGATGCTTTTCAGCAAAGATAACATTTTTGTTAAGATCTTTATCTGTTCAAAATACATCTTACTCTTATATGTCCTGTTAGTGATTTTATCTTTACAGATCATTCCTTATTTCAAAATTATTGCAACCCATTCTTTCAAAATAGTCATCTGAGCTGCATTAACAATATCAGTCGACTTGTCAAGTTGTAAGGAAAAATAACTCCGCACGTTGTAAGTAGTGAAGTAATGTCAGAACTAAACCTCAACCATCCTCAATTTGCAGAAAGCTGTAGATTTAATATCAGGCATAATCTATTTTGCTTTTTATTTATAAAAAATAATGCATCTGCAACCTTTAAAAATGCACCTTTCATTAATTTACCATCTTCATATAGGTACTTATTCTAAGAAATAATTTTTTAAACTTGAAGTCACATCTCTGTTGCTGCTTTATTCTTGTCCAATGCTTGAAAAAAAAGGATTGTTGTGCTTTGAGATTTTAGATCTGTCATTACCTTTGCTTTTTTTACAACAGAAATCAGTAGAAAATCCCGGTGAATGTCTGAAGGAGAAAATGTCCCGGAGAATGTCTGAAACAGTTTACCGTATTCTGGTAAAGAAGAAGTCAGTTACCCATTCCAAATGAAAGTGATTTCTTTTTTTTTTCTTGAACTACCATCATTACCAACAAAAAAATAAGTTTATTAACTACATTAGCGAATGTAAGGGCTGCACATCAAAACATAACAGACAACCTCATGCTCACACAATTATGAGACACAGTGACAATTAAGCAGAAGAATACCAGCAGCTGTTTTCTTAAGTCATGTCTGCACTTAATGGAGCACAACACTACTATCTACCTGCGAGCTGCTAGTAGATGGCAATTGAGTTTGATAATCTCTATTGTAGAGTGGTAGTGTTATGCACCAATGGACTAGAGGAGAGGGGAAGGGAATGGTGAAACCCACAAAACTAGTATTTCTGTCAAAGTCTCGTGGTCAACTTTTTACATGATTACAACAATACTTATTTGAGAAGGTAAAAATAAATTTCAGTAACTATTCACTTATGTATATTATACTGTACCTTGTGTACATTTTATTTTAACTGAACGATTGCCTGTCCAATAAATAAGAAATAAATAAATGTAGTCCAGAAAATTAATTTAAAAAAATTAAAATATTCAATTGAAAAAAAATTGATGGTTTCTTAATATTAGTAACTTAATATATGCAAGTCTCTTCTTTACAAAACTAAGGAGAAAAAGAAGAAAGAGTTTCTACTTTCCCCGATATGCATATTTCTATGAAGTAATATACGTAGTATATGGAAAGTTATGTAATACTGAGCAACACAATGCCGGATTTTCACACATAGATTTTTTTTTCTTTCTTTTTTTCCATTGCTGGGCCTTGACAACAAGAAAGTGAATAAAGCCAGTTGCTAAATAAAGAAAAAAAATCCTCTAACACGGGGTGTAGCCAGAATCCCAGTTTTGTGAGTCCTTGAAACCGAAAAATCGATTGACAGCAAAACTTCCGTCAGTGTGTCTGGTGTTTGTGGACACTACTAGTGTCTAAACCATGGGTAGGATTTTTTCCAAATTATAGAAACCCCTGTCCATCTGGCTTAAGTCGAAACTCTCAGATTTTGAAAAACATTCTTTAAAATGTCCGGGTGGTTTACATGAAGCCCACCTGACATTTTCAGAACTTTCTCAAAAACAGCTCCAAATTTTTTTCTAACTTTTTGAAGGGATAGTGCTAATTGCACTCTTTAATATGATGTAAAGTTCATTTTGGAGAATTTTTCGTTTTAAAACTAAAAAGTAAAGTAAAACCAATGACCACCTGCCTCGCTGTGGATGAAATCATAATCACTTTAACTTCTGACTCTTGGGGAAAAAATTCATAATTTATAATTTAAAATATAAGTAAAAATCAAATTTTGGGATACCTTTTCTTGTATCAATTCTTTCATTTCATATCCACTACCATCAATATCAACTTTGTTTTTCTATAAACTAAAGATTTTGATGGGCTTAATATCACAAATACAGTATATTACTGTTATTTACTTGTAAACATAATACTGTTATATCATTTTCATAACTCTTTACATGTAACTAGCAAAATGATAATCAATGCTTCATTTCTTTAGGTTTTTAATTTTTATAAGAAGATTTGCCATTTGTGACAAAATTCATGTTCATTGGGTTTAGTCAGCAAATGATTACTTTTCGGTCATTAATAATTGTCATAAGTAATTAATTGTAGCACAGAATATTCCTAACATTGTTTAAAAGATTCCTTAAATCCAAATTTCATTCCTAAAAATTCTAATATCTAAATAAAAAGATTTAAAACTTTATTTGGTCTGTTTATCTAATCTATATTCATTTGAAATAATTAGACTTATACTGTTAATACAAAATAAAACTTAAAAATATAGTTTATGTGAAAGTAATAAGTCGGTTATATACTTGGATTTGAAATTGGTGTCCAGCACACTGAAATCTACACAATAGTCTACTAATTTGGATGTACAGATATGGTACTATAAAAAATTGTAATTAAAACAAATGAAAAAATTATAATACACTGAAATTTGCATAGAGTTTGCATGGAGTTAATAAGTTAGCAGTAAATTCAATTACCATATTTGTATTAAGCACATGAAAATCTATTAGTAAATATAGACTGATTAAAAAGAGGATATTAAAAGAAGATGGTACAAAAGAGAGAGTACTTAAGTTTTGAACTTCCGCTCCTCAAGCTTTAGAACCTTACGAGACTTTGGAAACTTCTTCATGGAAGAATTTTCCAAATGATTTGATGTCAATAAGTACCTAAACACTAGAGTTTAGTTTAGAAAATTCATAATTTGTATTTATCTGACAAATTCGAGATGAGATTATACAGAAAAATATAATATGGTGCTCAACATGTTGCCTAAGATGGATATTTTCATGTTAAATTTTATTTGTTTTTTGCAGGTTCATAATAAAAATAAATTTTGAAAATATTACTATTACACACTTCATCCATTTTCACATGCAGAAAGATACACGAAACATCATGAACATTAATTACATTACTTACTATAATTTTTTTGTTTCATGACAAAATTAGGTTTAAATAATATCAATTGAATAATTTAAGTAATAATGAGTTGTGTAAATGTCAGAAATAGTCTATAGTAATCCAAAGTGTTTCTTCAATATTCTTGAAGTCGCATTGAAACTTCATATTATAAATATCTATTGTACTTATCTGGCTTACAATGCTGCTTGCAATTCTTTTTGGTATCAATAAATAATATTTTCCATTTAATTACAACACATTATTTATTATATTTACTGAAATTGTACAAATTTATTCATCTTTTTTGTGTGTTTCCTTCATACATAAAACAACAGTCTTACTTGTGTCCCCTGAGATGTATTTTAAATGATTCTATAACAACTTGCAGCTCACGAAACTCTGTACTAACCAAACAATAAAAAAAAATAGTATTCTTCTGGAATATTGTAGAGGGAACAGTCTAAGAAATGTGTCCATAGGTTTGTCTTGTTCAGAAAAAATGCAAGAGCGATTGATTACCTCTGTACCCAGGCATCCATCGGTCCATCCGTCTGTGAACCCAAGCACCTCAACCATACATAGCATTTTTCTAAAATGGATATTCCCCGGACAATCTGGCACAACTCGAGGTGTTGCGATTTTGAAATAGGTTCTTAAAATTTTGAGTACTTTACATTCACCCCACGGACATTTTCAAAATTCTGAAAAATGGCTCCTAATTTCTTCTTTAAACTTCTTGTGGCATTAAAGGTTGCATTGGTCCAATTTTCACCATTAGCTCTGAATTCTTAAAAATTTCAAAATTTTTGAATATTTTTTCAATATCTTCCTGCAACTACAAAATTAAAGATACAGATTTTCCCTTCAAATTAACTTTGTTGTCGATCATTTGTTCTTTCATTACGGCCACATACATTTTTGAAATTTTTAGTAGTTTTGCAATATTGCATGCAATATTCGCAATTTTAAAAAATTCAACAACTAGATTTTCTCAAAAATGGCTCAAAATTTTTTTCTTCAAACTTTTGGAAGGAATAGTGCTAAGCACACTCTATAAGATGACATAAATGCCATTTCATTTATTTATTTATTCAACAGGATGAACTCTTTACAAAAATTAATACATAGCATAATGATACAAAATAATTTGACAGTAAAGCGATAAAATAAAAATTGTCATAATACAGCAAATAAAAAGATTATCATGGGTCAGATGCAGACAAGACTTTCTTCAAGCAAGCTTTAAAGTGTATTGAGGTAGGTTCAACGAAGTTTAAAATGTAACAAAAATCGTTTGCATATTTACAGAATCTGTTAATGATATTGTTTGTGGTGTATTTGGATAGGAATTTAAGAACAAAGTCTGGAAATTTAGAACTAAACAACCAATTTCTGGCAACTCTCTTTGGACTACAGAAAAAACATTATACAATATTTTATTACAATCAATATGGTTGTTAATGACATTGTACAAAAATTACAACTCATTATAGTCTCTTCTGTACAATAATGAAGGTATATCGAACATTTCGCTGACCTGAAAATAATCAGTCATAACCTAGACATGGGGGTGTTGTTTATCTGCAGACTCTGTCAAAGGAATCTGTTCAGAAATCTTTCAATAGTATTAATATAAGATTGTGTAGAAAGGGACCAGATCATGGCACCAGATCACACATTCCATAAGTGGTCTAATGAAGGAAAAATACAAGATTTTGAAGATTCTAATGTCATTAGGATTGCAAGTGTTCCTCATAATGAAACTAAAGAGTTCTCATTGCATTGTTAGCAGTCGCCGAAACATGTAAATTAAAATTCAGTTTCCTGTCAAATAAAACTCCAAGATCTTTAATGTTATCAACAGTTGTCAGCAGACAATAGTTAAAGAAATACTGATAATGTGTAGGATTTCTAAGATGAGAAAATGTTATGGCAAAACATTTATCTGTGTGTAGTTGCATCATATTAGCAGTGCACCACAGATTCAAGTTATAGAGATCCTGCTGCAAATGCCAAGTATCATTCACAAATGAGATCCTGAAGTATATCTAGGTGTCATCAGCTTATAATAAGGTACGACTATAGGAAAAGACAGATGGTAAGACAATAAATAAAATGAAGAGAAGAGGACCCAAAAGTGAACCCTGAAGGACACCCGATACCACCAGAAAAGACTCTGAACAAAAGCCCTACACTCTATGTTCTACCAGTGATGTAAGATCTTATCTGGGACAGAAGAGGTTCATCCACACCCATCCTGGACAATTTGCAATTCAAAATGGTATGATTAACTCTGTCGAAGGCATTAGTAAAGTCAGTTTAAATTGCGTCTACTTGGTACCATCCTAAAATGCATTAACGATCAAGTTTCTAAAAACTGTCAAGTTTGTAATGGTTGATCAGTGGCTCCTATATCCATGCCGACTTTCAGAAAGAAAATTCTTGAAACTCAGCATAAAGAATTTAATTACCAGCTTTTCAAACAATTTTGGGATAGCACCGAGGATAGAGATAGGACGGAAATTGGCAATGTCTAATTTGACGCCGTTTTTATGAATGGAAATCATTCTACTAATTTCCACAACGAAGGAAAAATACCAGTGCGCAAAGATTGATTAAAAAGTTTCCAAAGCGGTCACAAAAGTGAATACTTACATTTGCATTAGAAGATGTTTGGTATTAAGTTATGGAGCCAACTCCCTTGTTACCAATGTTCAGATTACTAATTGCTTCAAAAACATCTGCCATATCAATATGAAGGTCAGTCACACAATTAGAGTCCAAAACAGAAACCAATGAGTAATTTGGTAAATCGCAGGCAGAGAATTGTTTACCAAAGTATTTATCAAACAAGGAAGCTACACGTTGCCCATCATTTTCGTGACTTTCCTCTAGTTATGGTATGAGGAACTTTATTCTGTGAGGTAGTATTTCTGATTCAGTCGAAATAATACAATTTTTATAGCACCCTCTTTGCAGCGATTTGCACTCGGATCTCAGTGCTGAAACTTTGTTGTATCTGCAGTTCTATAAATTTTAAATTGTTTGTGACATTTTTTTTCTTTTCCCTTATCTAAGTTTTCAATTCAGCGTTATACCATGACACACAGTTTGAATCACGAATTATATGTTTAGGAATATAAAGATCAATCAAAAAGTATAAAATGTCATAAAACTGATCTACTTTATTGTTAATATCACAATTTTTAAAGCCCAATTCCCAATCAGTATAATGATAACTTAAAGAACAATAGTTTCCCGTTTAAAAGTCATAAACCAGTCGTCAACAATGAAGAAGATGAATTGATCACTGATGAGAGCTCACAAACCAAGGTGAATGGTGTGCATCACACGTTAACAAGGCATCAATACACACGGTGATAACAATGGAATCTCAGTTGAATAAAATTAAGTCAAGCAGTGCACCATGAAAGTCCACAACATTATTGTAATGATGATCGGCAACAGTAAACGGATCCAGCAATGACCAGGCAACTTCAGCAATTTGTGGGGATGAAGACAGTACTTTGGATCTGTCCAGAAGATCATTGCAACAGGCCTCAGGAAGATTTAAGTACCCAGTAATCAGCAAGGATAGAGGACAATGTGTTTCAAGAACTCCCAGAAGACACTCTGTAAAGCTAGTATATTTCTCAGGACCACATGCCAGAAGAAGATAAGCCAACCCCAACAGCACCTCAGCGTCCACCAAAGAGTTTAAGAAAGAGTTTTTCAATGAGTTTGTTTTGTGATCAATGTTCAATGTTCTTTTGGTTTTCAAAAATCACAAAAATAATGTTATTGACTATTCACTCATTCATGAATATTTACATTAGCAATTATTTGTCCACATAAATGCATTTATAAATACATGTACTTTAAATAATGTTCCACCACCCCTCAAAAACAACTGAAGGACAGCAGATTTTACAGAGGTACGTCACAAGGCAGGCAAGGAAATTCAAGAGGGGAGCAGTGTCTCCTGAACATGGCGAAGGGGGAAGAGGGGAAGGAGGAGGGAGGGAGAGGGAAGGAAGAAGGAGGGAGGGGGAAGGAAGGAGGAGGGAGGAGAGGGGAAGGAGGGAGGGAGGGGGTGGAGGAGGGAGGGGGAGGGAAGGAGGGTGAGGAGCGGGGAGGGAGGAGGAGAGAGGGGTAGGGGGAGGCTGTAGTGAGGGGGAAGAGAGAGAGGAGGGGTGGCAGGGCGAGGGGGAAGGAGGGAGGGAGGGGGAAGGAGGGAGGGAGGAGGGGGAAGGAGGGAGGGAGAGGGAAGGAGAAAGGGAAAAAGAGAGCACAAGAGAAAGACCAATCTAAAATTTTGAGATAATGGGTGGAATTTAAAACACACCACCATTTGATATTTACATCCAGAATTAATTACCCCCCTAAAAAACAGAAAAAAATGGGAGATAATCTTAGATGGAGGTACATGAAACTATTAGCATTGATTTAGTATACTAACATTTCCTACTTTCTATCTTTGAGACTCAAATAAATTACCTCATATTACTTTTAACAGGATTCTACTGTATCACGAAGTGATCTAGCTCTACTCAACATGTTCCAATGAACTTCTCTGTTAGTATGAAAAAAGCAAATAAAACCCAATTGAGTCACACATTGCAGCTATTTATTACACATAAATGTAAATTATTGTACACTTACTTGCAAAAGTTTCTCCAGGCAAAACAAAGGATGCTTTTTACGGTTCTGGCCAAGAGATGCTTCATCTTGCGCTTCTTTGCTTTCCACTTCACCTTCTAAAATTTCTGCAGTAACTGCACCTGCTTGGGGAAGTTCTTCTTCTTGTTTATTCCACCCCAGTACAACGGCTAGCTCAGGAACTGACATTACCATTGTTCTTGCTGGAAGAGAGAGGCCAGATTCCTCTTCTTCCAATGAAATGAATACTCTTAAAAGTTCTAAACTTGTGGACAATGTCGACAAACAATCAGAACTATCTTTGCTAAATCCAGCACAAAATTTTATGAATAAATTCCACAAGGCATCTGTCTTCTTGTCCAAACAACTGTTGAAAAAGAAACCACAATAATTGAAGTAAAATTTTGCTTTTCTTATGGAACATTACATATACTATTGGAAGAAAAAATATAAAATCAACAAACATATTACAATACTATTAAATTCTGCAATAAGTCAGTCAATAAAATATTTCTAGAAAGACCATCAATTAAATAACTGGAGAATGTTAGCATCAATAGACCAAGTGCATATTTTAGAAAATTAACAATGTTATTGTTCCTGGCGTGTTTGAGGATGAACTAGACCTATGCAAACCTTGTGTATTTTCTCTTCTTAAATAGTATCATTAATACTATTGATGGTTTTTATAAAAAATTGTGAGCAGCATGCTGTAAAAATACATACAATTCTTAAACTTTTAGTTCCAAATGGAAACAGTATTTCCACAGAGTTTCAGCTCGGAGGTACTATCAGGAAATTTCCTCACTTGACCTCCAGACAGCTCTCATCTCTCTCACATTCTGACTGCAATCCCTCATATTGAAATAACTATCTATGCAAACCGAAAGAGATTTATAGATAGAAAAGGGATATGAGGCGTTAAGAATTATCATGGGTTGCCGGGACATTTAGCGCAAATCACAATGCGTCAGAAGCAAAAAAAATGGACATGACTCAATTACATCCATCTCGAGACAGTGCCTTCACACATACAAAGAAGCAGAAGAAGAGGTGGTGGCTTAAGACATTGCATGTGAAACCCTGTCGACTTTCTTCAGGTACGGAATGTTATGTTTGTATGCATGCCAACATCTTTTATTCTGCAGAAAATCAAGAAAAGATTCAATTTTCAAATTTTTTTGCAAACTACACTTCTTTTATCAGCAACTCATTTTTGTTTTTCAAATATTGAACATGTAATGGGGAAAAGAAAAATGATAATAATTGACCTTTTCTTCATAAACCTTAATAAACTTTATTTGAGGGTGCAATCTGCAACTGAATTTGAGGATTCACATTGCATTTACACATTACTTGCACCCATGTTTCAACAATGCATTATTTTTTAATACAATTCAGAAGCACTTAATGGATTTAAGACTGGCATTAGTAAATGGAGATAGAATATTTTTACAATCTCATTTGGGAAGCAGCAGCACATTATAATTACATAAGTCATTATTCCATACGGTAAAATCAAATGTGGAGCAAAAAAATACATTGAATATACTGTGTTTAAAAATTTCACTTAGTATTATATGAAGTGTCATAATATTTTCAAGCATTACCATAAACTGCCTGCATTTTCCATGCATACATCTCAAATCTTTTTTAGTTCATATATAACATGTTTCAATGTAGTCCACTGCTTATTTGTGTCATTATTTCCCTATTCTAGACTAGCTTGTGTTGACCCTCACTGCGGTTGAAAATCTGCAGGGACCACACATATACATCTATTTAGAAACGTCAATACTGACAGGTCTACTGAATTGAAAAAACTCTGTATTTAAAAAGTAAATTTCAAACTGTGATTTCTCACAATGTAGAGTATCGAACTATTAGAGACTGGAACAGTTTGGCTCTAACAATCTTCGATCCCTTTCCTCAAAGCCTGAGCAAATTTAAAAATAAATTAGTTTCCTGAATGTTGATACGTGTATTATAAATATATTTAATACTATTCAGTGTAAGAAAGTATGTATATGATTATTATAATCAGCCATCATTTTTATAATTATTATTATTAATATTATTAATAATTATATGCAGTGCAGTGGCACTGTAAAACTGAGGGAAACGAGTGTGTAAGAAAGACATTACAGCTCGGTGTTTCACGGTGCGGTGAAGTGAAGTGTGATGAAGTGGGGGCGCAATGAAAGATTGCACGGTGAACTGTTCATGTTAATTTGTAAAGTTTGTATATTTTATAAAGTTGTTAAGTTCTGTAATGTTAAGTCAGTGTATTCTGTCACCAAGTTTTCAAACTTAATTGCAGAATTATTAATAAATCTAAATCTATGTCACTTGGTTATTTGATACATAACATTGTCCAATTTATGGGACAATTTAGACAAGAACAATAACCTACCTTTTCAGATGATAAAATCCATAATCATGTTCCGTTAACATGAGAAATGTGCGAACAGTTGGCAGCAGGGTAGTGAAACTGTGTTCTATGTTAGAAATATGTTCCAGCATTATGGTGATCATTGTCACTAACAAATCTCGTGGTGGCAGAGCATTTGCAAGGTATACTTCAGCAGTTGGTAAATTCAGCTGTTGGTCACCACACATTCCATTAGAGGGAGGAGGAAGAAGTGTCACCTCAGTATCACACAGCGATTGAATCACAGACACAACACATTCTTGAGCTTGTATATGCGATGGTGATTCTGATGGAGATCGCAAGATACTGAATAGGGCCACAACTAGTCCTGGGTAGCGTTCATCAGCTTTTGTACCACCACCTCTCAAAAACAACTGAAGGACAGCAGATTTTACAGAGGCATGTGTCACAAGGCAGGCAAGGAAATTCAAGAGGCGAGCAGTGTGTCCTGAACATGGTGATTCAGCCTGTGAAGAGACCACGGATGATGGAGTGGGCTGACTTGCAGGTGATGTATGTTGGTAGGGTGGAGGCTGAGACACTGTTTGAGGTAATGGTTGTGGTTGTAGACTGTCAAGTACAGTGTCCAAAACACCACGACTGACAATTAAAGCAGTTGGAGCAGCCAGATCTGCCAACTGTACACACACACGACGCAACAGTTGTAAAAGTGGCTGAAAACTGCTTCCACTCATCGTAGCAATAAGTTCTTGTAAACCAGATCCCAGAGAATGTAAATGGGCACTCCACAATTTTCGGCTATTAATTATTCTACTAGTTTCGTCTTCTGGCAATGATGTCCGTGTTTGAACTGGCAAAGGTAAGGGTAATAGCTCTGACAAAATCAGCAATCCTGGAATGAATGTGTGAGGCCCAATAGTAACATATTTAACAACTTCAGACATCATCATAGTCCATAGGCTTCGGTTCAAAGCTTCTGTTTCAGAGGCTGCATCAGAAGAAACTGGCTGCGTGTAGGCCAGTAAGGTTTCAATTATTTCCCTACACACTCTCTGAGAGTCCATAATACTCAAAGCCGATGAAGGAAAAGCATGCATCAAACTGTACATTTGAAGTAACACTGGAACAGCAGTTAAATCTTTAAATTCTGTGTTACGGCAGTGAATAACATGTGTCAACATTCTTCGCAATAACTGCATTGCTGGCAAAACTAAAGATACCAACATAGAACCTTGATGACCTACAAAATTTGTAGAATGTAAGGATGGTTGCTCATAAAATTCGCATAATTTCTGAAATATTGACATAATATTAGAAACGCCTTCTAATGAATACAACTGAAGTATGACATATTTATATTTCAGTTCTATGTATTCTTCTGTGTCTAAACCATCAGGATTAATTGTCAGATCTTTATCTCGAGGAGGAATGCCTAAATATTTAATGATCCTAATTGCTGTAATGAGTTCTCCAGGGAATGCTGTACAAGTATCTATATTTCTTTTAATTACTTCACTCAGAAATCCAATATCATCATATACAAACACGGACGGATTTTCAACGACTTTTAACCATGGCACAACTTCAAAAAGCCTACTTGCCACACAACTTTCTTCCTCTTTAATAATTACCTCAAGAATATCTTTTCCAAATTTCTGCAAGAATGGAACATAATCAGAATATTTTACAGTTAAAACCACAAGGTCTGCAGCATAGGATTTGCCTGGAGACTTCTTTACTTTAGCACAGTTCATTTGAAACAACTGTGGGTTTACAAGTGACAACTGACATGAATCAGGTTGAGACAAGCAATGTATAAGAACATTCATATTATTTCCTCTGCTAAGCACGTGAACTAATGAGAGTTTTCCAGCAGAAGAATAACCAAGACTGTATAGTCCATGCAAATGATCTAAAACATCAGTCTGATCTGGATCAATAAATGCTTGCTGGTTGCTCTCTGCAATATTTATAATGTCAAAAAGGGAATCCACATGATGTAATGCTTGGAGTCTGTATGCCATGTATAATCCCAGCTGCTGAGCAGGAGGAGCGGAGCCACCACCTTCTTCTAAACCATCTTCTGGAGGGCCTGGAGACACTGGAGGTGCCTGTTGCAATAGCACTCGCAAAATGGCACTGCAAACTTCAGTGTTTGAAGAAAGAAATTGCATTCCTTCTTGTGATTCCAAGAGTGCAGCAATGATCTCTTGTGCAGTCCCTGTCACACTTGAATAACCTGCTGTAGTCGGACAAGCCAATAACACCAAACATGATTCTAGAAGTCGATGGCACCGAAAGAATGCAAACAGAGACGGGTATGGATCTTGAGGACACATGCTGATCTCAAACTGAGAGCTGACAGGAAGGAATCGTTTTGGTTGCGACATTGTTAATGGGGCTTCCCTATACAACCTTAAAACTTCATCAAGGCAAGCTACTATCATTTCAACTTCGCGTTCTGAAATCTCCATACTAGGCAACAATCCATCAGGACTTCTTTCTTTCATTACTAGTCTACCAGCATCCCCACCACCCTCTTCTGGTACAGTAAGAGGGTTGTTGTCAACCAACACTTTCACACTTTCATTCAATTTTGCTAAAACTTCATATGCATGTAATTTACGAAGAAGACAACTAATTGCATACTTTACTCTTGCTAGTTGGTTGCCTTGCATCATTTCTAACAACGTCCGATATCCATTTCTGGAATGATCACCGCTTGCAAGTTTAGAATTTTTATGTCCCATAAAATGCTCCACAGCAAACTGGCAACAAAGGCTAGCATCTAATGCTCGTAAAATCATCAGTTTTATAGATAGAGCCATATAATCTCGATGATACAAATCCAAAAGTGCTGAATGTATGTCTTGGGCTTTCAACAAACGCTTAACCATAGTTTCTCCACACTGACACATAGCTTCAACAAGGCGCACCCCAGCCTTGATGTGTCGAACTTTGTAACCAGGTTGAGGTTGTCCAAGTGCCAAATTGAAATCCAAACCAATATGCACCCATTTTAGAAGAATAGAAACAACTGAAACAAAAACAGAAATTATTTTTTTCCAGTTCAGAATCACATTACAAAAGAAATATGAAGTCTTATGTGGAATGTGGTAAACTTAACGATGAACACAGCCTTCAAATCATCATCATGATATCATTCAAAATGACTATAAATATTGAAATACAAATATTTTAAAAAAGAATCAAGCTTTATGCAACTTCAACATTTTAAAACATATGCTCATAATGTACACCATTAAAAAGCGGTTCATACTTGCTCACTGATCTTAAAAGCATCCCCTAACCCCTTCTGAGACATCAAAAGATAATTAAATTAATGGTTTCAGGTTGTAAGCAGCACTACAGGGCAACTTCATTTAAAATTATCATTTAGCATCAATGGAATTTCATTTCCCACAGACAAATATTTAAATGCACACAAAATACAGTAGTCTACAAATTGTAAGTTACTACTATGTCTAACTACTACTTCTGCTACTACAAAAGGAGGCCTTCCTGAAAATTATGGAGAAAAGATTACCAAATAACAAATAACACTGATCAAAACAACAAAAACCCAACAACAACAACACAAACAACAACAGCCTTTTTCTGTAAGAACAAAACACATTGTTTCTGAGAGATAATTTGCCTCTGAATTCAGATCTAATTTCAGAATTTCTATAACAGCCTCAGTTTTTATGTGAGGATGGTTTTTGTAATTGTGTATATCTATAAGTGATGAAGATAACATATCCACATATGTACAGTACTGTAACAGTGTACAGGAGTACAACAACATAAACGTTAAGAAAAGTGAAGAGATGGCTTGGAATATTGGGTCTGAATGGATCTCCTCTGTCTTCTGAATGATCACCATGGTAACATTCATCTTAATTTCTTGTCCCATTCTCAGAAAGAAGAGGTACCGGCCATTCTTGACTGTCATACGTGCTTACAGCAGATGGTAAATTAGGACACTGTATGTCATTTTGGAGAGGATTCCAGCTATTTGTGTCAGACAGAAATAACAGACTGTTGTGTGATCTGTTAGTTCTGTCCAAATCATGGGCATGGCAAAGGGCATATATTGTGAGTCTTTTAACCAGCGTGTCAGGAGTTCTCAGAGAATAAATTTTCAATTTATGCAATTTCAGAGTCAATTCATCACAGACATAACATAATGTATTTGGGATACTTAAACACTTATAAGTCATTTTTTCTTCTGAATTAAATCAAAGTACAACCCTTCACAAACCTAGAATAACAAGTTGTCACATCCACACTACTTTTCGTGCTGTCAGATTTCTCAATGCAGGGGATGCAATTTGCAAAAAAACAACATAATTCTATCTGTTCAAGCATGACCTCCCAACATTGCCAACCTTTTATCATTTCCTAAAGGCACATTTTCTGAATTCAGTGTCATGGAATACCTTGCGCAAATTTTGATTGTTGCTGAACAAATACACCTGCAGAATTATTAAATGAAGCTTAAGCAAAAATAACCAATATGAGCATTTTCCAGCATTTCCATAAACAGGGAGTAATGAGTAACAAGAAAACTGAGCCCGATAGGCAAAAGGTGATTTTATATTCGAATTCAGTGCACAAGTCTAAGCCAAGAACATCATTCACAAACTTTGTTACAAAAATGCTGCTGATCAGTGCAATCATATCTTCCAAGTTTTTCTTAAAAATTTATGAAATTCTCCTCCCCCCCCCCCCCCCAAATGAAGTACCTCTTATAACTATCATGAAAAATTGGGAATTCCCTTCCCAGACCCTGTTCCACCACAAAAAACAATTCAATACTATTAATTTTAACAGACCAGTGCAATCATCAATCATTTTAAAACTTGCTCCTGACTTTATTTTATTATTGTTTTTATTATAAATGTGTTCATGGGCTTTAAAGTTACAGTTAACTTCCTGTACAATGAAAATATTATCAAAATTGGAAGATACACACTTTAGAAGATATACAGTGATTTATCGCCCGAACTGAGGAATTCATTGTTTGATTTCCGAAATTGTACAGATACATCGCTTCTTTACGAGAATGTAGAAACTAATAAAGTTGGATGATAAATCACAGCAATAATTTGAAGTGATAAGTTTTTGTTGTTTCACATAAACACAGCGATTTATGCAGATCAATCTGTCAAAATATCTGCCAATATTTGCAAACCACGCTACGACATGTCTGAGTTTGCTTGTGTTTGAATGGCGATATAATTGTGTACTTGTGGTAGTTAAAAAATAATGGCGAGCAAGGAGTTTATTACGGGTTTACTCAAGTTATATTGTAATAATCTGTTAGATCTGAATATACCAACAAAATATAAATATGCAGGACATTCATAAGCAGATAAGTTTTTAAATCATCAGGATCATCTTCTCGCAATGTCTAAGAAGCGGCATGCGATTCAAATCTCTTGTCAGAAGCTATGTTTTAACTCATTTTGAGCAAAACTTGTTCTTCTTCATATTACCATTAATCCCATCATTCCGTAAATAACAAATGCTCAACTTTTACAATACACAAATTCAAACTCTCGAATAACTCTTCAATTTCAACGTTTAAACGGTCATATTTTATAAAATGGCGAATGATCACCGATAAATCAATTAGATTTGACCAAATAATTGTTACAAACAACACATATGTACACGTAAATAAGACCGATTAATTTGAGAAGAAATACTGGTTCATAGTGCATTTTTAACTTTTTGGGATGAAATTTGCATATATATACAATTTTGTTCTTCTCAATACTAGATATTACCTCCTTGCCTCTTTACGTCAGTAGATATAAACATTAATCTAATGTAATCAAACAATCTAAATTTTGTTTCCGTGGTCGTATTTTTTAAAATGCCTTTTGAAGCAACCTTTAACTAACAAAGTCAATTTAATTTCAAAATTTTCATTTTCCAATATTAATATTTTACCAAAAAATATGAAACATTAGATGTCCAATAGCTTTATTATAAATCACTTCTTTTCATTTTTATTTATTTATTTACTTGTATTCTTTTTCCAGTAGTCTTGTAACCTTTGATGAAAAAGTCTTCAAACTCATGGGTGAACTGTGTTTGAGAACTGTAATTAAACTCTGAGCAGATTCCTGAACCAATTTTAAATTAACGTTCACTTATGTGGTAAACACTAAAACCAAAGAATTTGGTCAATGACAGAGAAATGTTAAGCAAAATGGCAAGAACATTAAAAAGAATAAAACCAAGTAGTCTTCCAAAGATGGCAATGAACTTCAGACCAAAAGGAAATAGAGACCTCTGCAGACAAAGGAAACAGACCAGGTACACCTTAACTAGAGTAAAGGAATAATGGAAACAAGGAACAGGCCATGGGACCTAAACCTTACTAATGTAGTTGTTGTTGATGATGATGATGATGATTACTTATATTATTTTTCTCACCTTCACGATTTGCAACATATGGCAGTCCTCGCACCAAAAGAGGAGGAATTTGCTCAGCCAAGTCCACCCAATCTTCCTGCACTTGCAGGACCACATTACTAGAATCTTGACAAGATCCAGTGCAAGTCTTTCCTTGAACAAGAATTAGCTCTTCTAAACGTGTGGTTTCTTTGGGCACAGGTAAAGTCTTCCCAGGGTTAAGTAGGGACTGCAAGCGATAAGCTCGTTTCTCCTCTGCTTCATAAGCAGACAAACCAGGATCTGCCAAGAACTAAGCAACACACAATCTTGGAATTAGATTGACAAGCTCCCAAAGTGAACACATACAAGAACAAAATGTATTCTTACCGTCAAGGAGTGCAGTTCACAATTAAAGGGATTAAATGACTTAACTGGCTCATCAACTTCCTCTGAAAATTCGTAATCTTCATCTTGGAACTACAACATACACAAATTAATTTGAGGTATGAAAAATCCAAATTACCAATAAATCATTAACTCATAGAGATCACACCTCTAATAAAATTAACAATCTCTTTACATACCTGATCATTTTCATCAACAATATCTTCATCGCTCAGGATAGGTTCAAACTGCTCTACATCCATGCCAGTCTCATCTGGAGGTATTGGAGAATCAGCTGGAGTGGTTACTCTATTGGGTGGAATAATGGTTGGGGGAGTAGATGGATGAATTGTTGGACTTGGAACTGCCACTTTTATAGGTGAAGTAGCAACTGGGCTAGAAGGAACAATAGGAGGAGTTGTGGGACGAGACTTTACAGCTGGCATCTCCTTCTCAGGGGTTGGCATTGCTTCGGGAGTAGTTGCAGCAGGTTCTTCGGGTGGGATGAGACCTACACCGTCCTGGCCATTCCCTTCCACATCCATAGGTTCCATCTTGGGCACTGCTGGGTCTGGCTCCAAATCTGCCTCAGTTTCGGGAATCTCGCCTTCTGATATGGATTCCACATCACCGGGAGAGAGGGATTCATATTTCTGCGGAGCTCCAGATGACAGGGTCGGTGAGCTCACTTCTGCAATAGGAGCAGCATCACCTCTTTCGCCTATCAACACTCCTTTTGTCTTAATTTATTGCTAAAAACCCATTAAATTCATGTCACATCATTCACCTATATCCAACTACACAATTATCAGTGGTTTATGCATAATGTTGGGTAAATAAATTCTATTACATGTATGCACAACCCTTTGGTATTTATTAACCACTGAAACAGCACCATGAAGCCACCATTGAAGTAGAAAAGAAAGTGCCAGGTTGCAGTGTTTAAAGTGCATTTTGATAATCAAAATGTTGCAACTAATAGTTTTGTCTTTATGAGGCAACTGGAAGGTGCTCAAACAGGTGACATATTTACTCTTAATTAAAAACTAGAAAAATGTATCCTCCAGCACTGAAATATGAACAAACTTTATTTTTCGAGTTCACCTCTATACTTAATATCACAGACAACTCGAGTTGATATTTCTTCAAAACAAATTTTTCCGAGAAATGAAATACGATCAAATTTCACAAAACACAACAATAAAGAATGCACACTCCACACACAATGCCACATCACAAGTTTTCTCTTCACCACAAAGAATTGATTCGGCTTAAGAGGTGACAGGGAATCTGAATTCATAATATACTGCGTGAACATAAAAAAAAACACATGTATCACTGAATTTTCTACACAGGCACTTGAATTGAACACTGCTTCAATTTCCATGCACAAATCCATTGCTTTTAACTCACGAACAGCACATGTGCATTACACAATTGGAAGAAAATCATCAAAAGCAGCCCCCCAAAAATTCCAACAATGTATCTCTATAAAGTAACCTAGTTGTCACTTACTTTTCTCATTTAACACCCATAAGTTAGGAAACAAGATAAAGGAAAATGGTGGCAATTGAAAAGAATGAACATGAAATTGAGTTGATATGAGTAATTTCCTTAACAAATTTCTGAAATCTGTAACTCTTTTTCCTTTATCCAATTGTCATTTAATAATTCCAACTTATGAGAATAAGCCAAGCTATAGTTTGACACAAATTTATGTTACCGAAATTTATAAAGTCACATACTGAAATAAGCATGCAATTTAAAAACAATCATATGTCTAATGAAAATATAGACACAGTGCCAAGCATTACTTATGATTGACAATAATAAACCTCACCAACCATTTGTCTCTGAGTTTGTGAATTGTTCAGGAGGACTGCAGTGAAACCCATATGCTGAAGAAAGGCTTGCAGTTCCAGAATAATGCAACTGCAGAAATAACACTCACAACCAAGTCAACATCAAAGAAAGTACCTTTCTTCACTTCGATGGCCTCATTTCTGGTAGGGGAAACAGGAGCAGCCACTGGCCACCTGAGACCTCCAGGTTTCTCTTCCAGCAGATTTGGCGCCGGTTGTTGCTGCAACAGCTGAGGTGGTGGTGGTGGCGTATGAGGTCTCTTCGGTGAACGATGAATGCTGACAGGGGGTGCCTGCGGAGGAGGTGTGCGAGGCCTTTTCCTACCCGGCAGCAGCTCGTCCCTCTCCTGTGAAGTCCGCTCTTTGAGCTGAGACTGCTGCTGAAGATCCCACTGATGAGGGGGAGGACCAGGCCCTCTACGTTCTCGGGAGTGAGCTCGAGGCAGTTCATGGTGAGGATGGGGTGGCAGGTGTCTGCCATGGAGACTTCCACTGGACACTGGTGGTGGTACTTCATGGTGGTGAGAGTGGTGGTGAGGATGGTGGTGGGAAGGCAATGGAGCCACAGGTTCTGCAGTCAGGGGAGTGATAGGAAGGCCCTTCAAAGCAGGAGGAGGTTCAGAGCTTCGTTCACTCCACGAGATAACTGGAGATCGATCACGCCTACTTGGAGGACCTTGACTTCCCCACCCAGGACCACCTGAACTACTTCCTCTTTCCCAATCCCTCTCACGAGACACTTCACGGTATTCACGTGCACTACTCGTGCTTCTCTCCCGGTCTCTGTCACGATCACGCTCTTCTCTTCTGCTGCGAACATCCCAGTCACGATCTGATTCTCTGTCCCTAAAGTCTCTGTCACGATCACGATCTCTTTCTCTGCTGCTGCGGTCTCTGTCTCGCTCACGTTCTCTGTCTCGATGACGATCCCTCTCACGGTCACGTTCACGATCCCTCTCTCTGTCTCGGTCTCTGTCTCTTTCCCGATCCCTATCTCTTTCACGATCTCGATCTCTATCGCGATCACGATCTCTGTCTCTATCTCTTTCTCTCTCTTTCCCCCTATCTCTTTCCCATGGTAATTTGTCCTCTATTGACCCTCCACTTTCCCATGGCAGAGGTTCTCCCTCATATGCAGAAATCGGTCGTGGATCTTTTGGTGCTTCATATGGCTCAGCAGGCGGATGAGTTGGTTGATGCATTACAGACTGGAAAAAGAATTTGAGTGAATACCTAAAGAAAATTTTCAAATTAAAAATACTTCAGCAGCAAATCGGAAATACCCTCTGTTGTTGAGGCCACTCTTCTCTATATGGATGAGAGTATTCAGGTTGTGGGTGATATGTCTCACCAGAATAACTACCAGCATATGGATCAGGGGGAGGTACATTTGTACCTACAATATAACCCTGCTCAACTACTGGTTCTGGAACCTGAAAGGAAAAATATAATTCCACATTAAAACTATTCCACAGACTAATTCACAAAATTATATGCAGGAACTAAGCAGTACCTGTGCATGTTGCTGTACCCATTCTGGTGTAGCTGTACTATTCACAAGGGTTTCAGGAGGTACTCGTGGATCTGAACATGTTCCTGCAGGTGTAACCGGAAGAGGAACCATGACAGGAGGAGGAGGAGGTGCCACAGGTTCTTGAATGGCTTTTGTAAGTACTCCATAAACAGCCAATGTAATGGTTGTATACCAACCACGCAATACCAATCCATCAGTGGGAATCTGAAAATCAGTCAATGAAGTTCATTATTCCATCGATCACATTTATAAACTACTATCAATTCATACATAAGCAAATCATTAAAAAAACTATTGAAATTTATCTTTTTTATTCAATCTTCTATTTTTTTACTTCCAAAGTAAAAAATAACTACTGATTTCTAAAGTTTTTTTATAAGGAATTTATATTAAATATTTAATGAAAGAGAGCTTACTCTTCTATCACTTTCAAGTTGAATGTTGCCATTTTGCCGATACTCCAAGCCACCTAGGCTTTCAAATGTAGAAGCTCCAGGTTTACTTAGGTCATTCACAAAAAACTCTATATCAAACTGTGAAGGATTTGTGGCTCTAAAATAAAGAAAAATTTATTCATGTTACCTACGTAAAATACGCAGAACAATGTTGAGGTGGATAAACAATAATGATAAGAAAATAAAAAATACAAAAGTACGATTTGGCAGGCAAAACTCACCCCAATCGAACGCCGCCTGGAAAATCTGCTTGAACTCTTGCGCCAAGTGGTATGATACGAACCTCACTGACAAATACTGGTTTAGGAAATTGTACTAAGTCTAAATTCAGCTCCTACAAGTAAAAACGAATTCATCCTCAAAACACTTCACTTCAGCACAATCCACAACACAAACATTACGGTAATTGAATAACAATATTTTGAAACTGAATAAACTCATGCAATTAAAAGAACCAAGCAGTTCTTAGAGATATTATTTCTTTATGCATTTCACACGATTTTGATACATCTACAACAATTAGAGAACTAGAAGCCACCTCTTCGAGAGTGGCCTAACCAATCGAGGGCAGCGCATTGAAAGCCATAAAAGCCTTAAACCAATCTTCGGAAACTCTGTAGATAAGTTGTACGTGTTTCAAATTAGACATACCTCCGAACTTTCGTGTGAAAAGGTGTCAAAAAACAGTAATTCAGTATTTTCGGCCATAACAACACCCTATGTGTGTAATCGCCCTGCATCAGTAATCTCTCCTCCGCCTCCACTGTTTCCTCCCTTCACCGCCCACTCGCTGATTACAAGCAAACCAACATAACAAATAGAGGTTAATATATGTTGGAAGTGAATGGAGCCCCATTAAATATTAATCCGATTGAGAAGTAGGATTTCATTCCAAATATTTTATGCTTTTTATCATTATTTTATGATGGTGGCTCCAGTTTCTCCATAATCATGATACAGAATAAGTTTAATCGTTTTTACTCAGTTTAACACTGATTGAACGTACGATTTCATAACTTTGACTATAGAGTTCGCCTTCTTCGCCCAGTTGGTCGACATTCATGTAAATTCTCTGAACTCGCCTAGGCGTTCGTCTATTTTCATAGTAGTGGTCGGTAGTGGCCTGGTAGTGGCTTAAATGGAGTCGGCTTCTAGATATTATCGCTCACTGCAAAAAATTAAAGGATCGTGTGACCAGAACATTTAAACTATGAAGTCTGAGATATTGCAGACTTAATGATTCACACGCAAAATGAATGATAACGATAGTTAAATGTAATAATAACCTAGCATCAGTGGCATGATACAATGTAGTGTTGTTACTCTCTTAAGTGTTCCGAACAACGAGAACTGAAAAGATAACGTACCCTTCAATGACATAAAATATCCCAATAAAAGCATGTGAAGGCCGCAGGCTTCTTTCTGCAAATTAAATTTCTGGAATACATGCAAAAAATTAAAATTATTTCTTAAAGCTTGAGAATTAGAGTTTTATAAATCTCAATTTGTAATGAGAAGAGATATAGTGTATGCGTAAATTCCCAATAGTCACAGTTTCAAAGGAATATTTTGATTTTTCTGGGTACATCACATCAAGCGTCAAAAACATTCCCAACATTTTCTCAAAAATAGCTTCAAAGTTTTTGATACAACTTTGTGCTCAGCGTTAACCATCGTATCATATATGGGGTCTTTTTGGATCATGTTTATTAATTTGTTAATAAATTTCTGAATATTTGCAAGATAATTTCGCTCTTCTAGATAAGCCTTCGAGGACATCTTAAGCAAGTTCATTTTCAAGTATTTTACTAGTTTTATTAGAGAATTTTTTTTTGTTACATGAGACCGGTTTGATCCAATGTGTAAGTAAAATAACACCTAATATTTTCCCATTCTTATTTGAAATATATGGTCATTAACTAAACAAAAGGTGCGTGATATTCTCAATATATAATTATCCCGAAATAACTTTTATAAACTCTTATAAATATTTTTGAAGCATTTTGTGTCAAAACTGGAGGTTACGCACTGTAGAGGTTATTCCATACATATGAAATATTTCTTATGAATAAATTACATTTTGTTATTGAAAATAACATAAAATGTATCCTTAAATAAAATCAATTATTTACACTCAGTGTATTGCCGTATACATTCGCGTATATCACTTATAATTGTCAGTAAAGCTTGGGATCCAAAAAGACCCAAGTATAGTACTTGATAGTAAATAGCAGATATGATTCGAGGGAAACGTTTAAAGGATTGGTCTATAGGTATCATGTTCGTTAAATTCTCAGATTTTTCGAAAATTGCAAAAGTGTAATTTTTGGACGTTTTGCTATAACTATAACTTTGCAGAAATGTTTTCCTTAATGAAATCTGTTCTTTAAAGACAGATATTGAAATAAGGCATGTTCATCGCGTAATATTATCGCGTAATTTTGGGCGATATATAGACAATTTTAATGAATTTGACATTTTTCTAAAAAATAGCTTCAAATTTTTCCTTTAAATTTTCTCCATATTTGATTCAAGGGACGGTATAATATATATATATATATATATATATATATATATATATATATATATATATATACCTATAATATATATATCATTTCATAATAATTTCATAAATAAACATTTCAAAATAAAAATTGAATGTAGAGATATTTGGCCTTAGAAAAAGTCTGGTTATAAAAAACCCCTTCAAAACAACTCTGTAACAATTTTTAAAAAAAACTATAGATTTTGCTAATTTGTTCTAAAAGTATGGATATTTCTATGTTTTACTCTTCAAATACACGTGGGTATACACAAGAGCAATATATAGGATACGAGAAGATTATGTAATTGCTTCGAAAATCGAGATCGAGATTTCAACGGAAATACACGTTTTTGGGGGTCCTCTAATCCGAATAAGTTTATTTTTTCAACAACGTCCGGTTCCGTCTGTGACACACCACTAAGCTTAAATGCATAGGACTTTTTTCCAATGAAGAAACGCTGTCCCCTAAAATGTTTTATTAATTTTTTGCTGCAATATTGCGAGCTATCGTGCAAGTTTTTAAAAAAATAAGAAAAAGATTTTCCGATACACGAAAATGGACTATGGCAATTTTTATCGCGTTTTCTTATTACAAGCCGGCTGTCCCATTTCGTAGAATTTACTGCCATGTAAAAGATCCTCAAAGCCTAAATGACGCCTGCTGAAAGCTAAATTAAGTCGCCTGTTTTCTCGCCAAGATACCTCCCTTTCTCCGGAGTTGTGAAAGGAGCGTAGCGAAATTTGCGTGTCAGACGGAAGAGCAGCTAATGCCTAGAGTCTGCCACGAAGAAAATAGCATAATTCAATCAAAATTCAATAAGTGAACAAACGTTAAAGAAAAAAATTAGAGCTCGTTTTTGAGAATTTTTTTTGTAAATTTCAATTGCAAAAAAATGCCAAAACCTACTCTGTTTCAAAAAATTGTAATTTACTTTTCTGAAGAGCTATTTGTATAACAGACTTTGTGTGAGACAAAATCTACTTATCTCAATTTGAAGTTTTTAAAATACTTTTTTCAAATTTTAGAAAAATTGGGGATGACAACCGAAAATAAGACTGAAGCCATTCTCTGAAACGTTCTTTTCACTATTCAACACACAAAATTTAATCAAAAACATTTAGAGATTTATTTTTGAAAATTTTGAAATGTCCCAGGAATTCAGTAAGTACCCTAAAATTAAAATTTTGGTTTAAAATCTCTCGGCTTGCGACATCAGAACGCATTGAGGAATATCAATTTGCAAAAAAACAACTTGCCTAAACTATTAGCGTCTAGCATTGTGCACAGACGGACTGACGTTTTTACAGTCAACCATTTTTGGTAGAAGGGACGTACAAAAACATGATGTGGCGACAGCCAGTGTTAGAGAATTTTTTTCTAAAATTTAGAAACTGGATTTATCTACTATTTCCTTACAGGGCCTGGCAATAACGGGTTTTTGGTATCAAAAATTGTTTGAAAATGAATCAATTAATGTGGGGTAACGAGGATCAAGTTGATTGGGATCCCAAGGATTCGGTCTGCAGCTTGTTTTACAGATTTTCCCACCTTCTCCTTGGCTCTTTCTAATGAGTAGATAGTAATATTTATTAGTATATTGTAGTGTCTCTGATTTGTCACATGTGCGTTAAATTTCGTTTCTTCCGCGCTGTAATGTTTTCCTTGCGCTATTACGCAGTTTGGCGGGATGACGGTCTATTGTCCATCAGAGTGGTGTTATTCTTCCTTACATATGAAGGAAATGATGTGTTGCTGTAATTTTTAAGTATTTTATTTTTCTTGAACATTGTGTTTAAAATCTATGAATCTCTGATTCTGTTAAATATTTCGGGTAAAGCGAAATTGGTCAACCGCACTGTGAAATTTTTAGAGCGGTTATGTTAGATGAATATGATTATTGCTCGCTAATATCTTCCTCATTGGCAAAGGATGTGCATTGAATTACTTGATGCCGCACGTCTTGTTCCAGATTCTTGCTTACGTCGGGTATAGGTTCTTGAATTAGATCTACATCTAGTTTTTCGGCAAAAATAAAATTACTATCTCAGCCATTACAATGCTTGATCTCTGAACATTACAGAAGGACGTTTTGAAAACTTTTTTGGTCAGGTGGTTACTTTTTTGGTATCAGGTGACTCCAAACGCGTTTTCTTCCGTTGAAATCTTGAAATCGATTTTCCCGCAGCATTACATAACTTTCCCTACACCACATGTAATACTCCGTATATACGTATACAGGAAAGTAAAAAAATGTGCCATTTTTAATAAAAATTTTGAAAATGTCACAGCTCAAACGTAATGTATTTCTCCCCCAAAAAAGCTTAATGTAAAGCATCCCAAAAAGTAATTATCTTTTTTTCAAAATCGCAGAGCTTCGAGTAACTCATATGATTGTATTGCAATACCTTTTTCAGTTCATTGCAGTGACCACTGGGGACTGCAGATGACATCGACTGATAACATCAACGAATCATGTCATCGACTTGCTAAATGTGCGTAAAAAATTCAATCACACAGCGCTGTCTCATACGAACAACAATGTAGCCCCTTTTTGAGCAACTGCTGTGCACTATGTTTAACCTTTCCTATTTAAAGTTGACACGGATACTCAAACACACTACATTCAAATCGGCGGGCAGTTCCCACTCCAAGAGTTGGGAACCTCGACTGATGTAAATGCTCTAGAGAATTGAAAACATAGCGTGTGTTGCCATCCTAGGTTGTAAGGATACTCATCACCTGGGAGCGGTAAAAGAGTGGTAAGAGAACGAAGCAGGCGGCCATTATTGTTGGATCGTAATTTAGAGGAAGAATAGTATTGGTTCATACTTGCAGTTTTGAAGTAAAAATTGGATATAGCTCATGGATAGAAGTATGTAGATGAAGTCAATTAAGATAGGAGAATATGAAAGGAAAGAAGAATAAATGTGTAAATGGAACTTACTAATTAATGAAATTATTTCGTTCAGCTTTTTCATCCTTTTTAATACTTTTGAAGTATTATTTAAATTTTGGAATTGAATACTTTCAATCTATGGTATTTAATGGATTTGGTAAAATCGTGTCACCAAAGTCAGGAATCCATGTTTTGTGGGTCCTTGATACCGAAAAATCGACTGACGGAAAAAAGTCTGTCTGTGCACAACGCTAGCGCTTAAACCGTTAGACCGTTTTTTGTAAAAGTGATATTCCCCAATCGTTCTAGCTGATGTCGCGACCCCAGAGATTGGAAACCAAAATTTTAATTTTGGGGGCTACTTTACATAAAGCCTCTGGGACATTTTCAAAATATAAAAAAAATTGGCTCAGCATTTTTTGATTTAATTTTGTTGTTGAATAGTGCAA